TTGCCACCTAATTTAATTTTAAGATTATATATAAGTTCAAGAAACCTCAGCATCATTTAGTTCTCCTTGCTTGTGGAAGAAAACAGCAAGCTACAACCTTCCCATCGAGTCTATGAGTTGCTTTCCCTTCCTTCTCAGCTTCCTCCAATAAGTCTTCTGATTTTCAATATCTTTTCACTAGTATGAATTAATCATTTTAAGATATCTCAAATTCTTATTAAAGGCAGAATGGGAAGAGAGGAGGAAATGGGGAAAAAACAAATGTAGTTATTTCTATGTCTAGTACAAATACCTAATATTGCAGGTAAGGACCGAAGAAGCTTCCTAGTACAAGACATTTATTTAATCTTAATTTCTTCTTCATGCTGAAAAATTCTAGATTCTTGAGTTTTTTCAGGAACCTTTTTTCTCTGACATTAATCTGTGACTTCCTTCTAAATCCTCTCTAGTTTCACAATATACATAATTAAATGGAGTTTCTAATGCTAAGTGCTCTTTCTAAATCAAACATACTTGACTGGAATTTATTCTTTTTTTTTAATTGTGTAAAAATGAATTGTAAAAGAACTAAAGAATAAAAACTCTTAAGGTTTTGTTCATGCTTAGTCACACTGGATCTCTACCAGACCTTCCCTACTCTGGCATCTGGAATGAAAGCAGTGGCTTCACTGCTGTATCTTTAATGTGCCACCATTCGTGTGCTCGCTTTCAGATTATGCTAGTACCTTATAGTGATAGATGCTGCCCATTTTTTTTCTAATCGGTTCATATATAGTGGTAGCTCCCGGCTCTAAGCATCTGGCCTGCTAACTGCATAGTAAATAACAGTAAATATGCTGCAAGTCTTAATGGACTATTTATATAAAATTGTTTGTGTAAAATCAAGATCTATTGTTATTAATAACATCAGCCATTTTGGACAGGTGCTTGGGTCCCACTCTCAGCCAATTAAATGAGAATTGCTGAGGGTGGAGCCAGGTCTTATGTTTTTAAAAGTACCTGTGATGATTCCACTGTGCAGCCAGTGTTGAGAACCAATGAGCTTGTCAGTTTCTCCTTGAGGGAATGTCTGGGCAGGATTTATAAATTTTTGATATATGGACACAAATAAGGTTGTAAAAAGATGTAACTTGTTTTGAGAGAGTTATAAAATATATTTGCTTTTTCAACTGCTAAGGCCAAATATTATCTGTACCCTCAACAACACTGTTTCCTTCATTTTCATATTTTTTTCTTATTAAAATAGCATCAAAAAGTGATGCCTTATTGCCAGGACAACCTGGAGGGGTTCACCTAGCTAGCTAATCTTTCCTGAAGACTGTTCTACTTGATCACACTTTGTGTTCTTGGCGCTCCTTTTTCCTGCAGCGGGAAGAATATAAAAAGTTCTATAAAAAGGTCTCCTGGCTTCTTCTGCCTCTTCCCTCTGTCTCTCCAGGGTGTCATTGGCCTGTACATTCTTATCTAAATGCACCAACTAAACTCATTTTATTTCTGCTTTTAACTCCTCCTAAGTAATGATTTCTCCTTCTGGTTAAGAAAACCCAAACAATGGTCTTCAGAATTTAAAAAACAGAAGGTCATCCTTATTTAGTTTTGCTTTATGCCCGGTATATACAACATCAGGCTTAGAGAATTTAAAGTATATAGGACTTGGCGAATGACAGCAGGGGCTTTCCTTGCTAGGACTCATGTATAAAAAACCAGACACTACAGCCCTGCAACTGTGCTGACAAATGTGTTCTAGATTTACCCTTTGTCTGGTTCAGAGTTCCTCACTCCACCTCTCCATTTTTCTCTTATAGTGGAGAAATCAACCCATGTTCTCCTTTTGCATTCCCCACCTATAAACCTCAGAGCCCAGGCCATGGCAATATTGCAGAAGGACAACTGTAGGGTCAGGACAGGCCACTGAGCAGGTTTTCTATGGAGTAAAGGAGGAGTCAGAGTCCTTAGTGGTTTTGCAGGTTTTTATTGGGATTACCAGGTATACAGCAGGCAGGGGCACTGGGGGGCCGGTAGGCTGGCAGGCCTCCCAGCCCCCAGCAGGTCTTCACTCTGGGCTCTCTGGCCTTCTCTCTGCTTCTCTGCTCTTGCTTCTCTCTCAGCTTCTCCTGGTGTCCCCATGACGCCACCCTTGAAAGCCCAGTCGAATCCCATCTACCTATGCCCACACCCTACTCCAGGTGCCCGCCATCAGGCATGCATTCAGGACTGCAGGGATCCATCATCTATCCTGATGGCGGGAGGGCAGAAAAGCCTGATACCTTTCACCTTACCCTACAACAACATATCCATGTGTCCTTCTAGAATAGTTTGTAAATGAACTAGAATAGACATAGCTCATGTTCCAGAAAGTCACTTAAAAATTCAGGTTGCTGAATTCATAGTAGTTTGTGAATATGTGTTTCTCAAACACTAGATGGTGAGAGTATGTCATGGTAGGAGGGTAGGGGGAAATTTCCATTGGTATAGCTAAAAATTGCTACTTTAATTCATTTATCTAACACTAAGATAACTATGCTAGATTAAGTGGTTTCATACTAATTTATTTAGGGGTTCCATTTTCACTCCTCAGTAGATTTTATGTATGTCTCATATGTTTCTTCAGTCACGAGTTCATCTAGTTCAGAAGGATTACTCAAGGTTATCTTAATCACTCGTCTTTATCACAAGATTTGTTGACAAATCCTGGATTTTCTGCCCGAGCTTTATCACTTTGTTACTTCTGATGGGGGAATAGAGTTCACTAGCAGCTTTTACACTTTCCAAAGCACCAGGCTCATCTTGTTTGTTCAATTTTGCCCCAAATTTTGGTAGGCTACAGTAAAGAACATCATCGCCCAAAGCTTCCTGTTTAAAATGGATGACTACCAGAGTTCCAACACTATTTTCTGTTGCTACATATTCCTGTTTGTCTGTGAATTTATGCAGTGAGAGCAGAGCGGAGCCCATGCCCAGGTACTGGTGGTGATGCCTATAGCCCCTGGGGCCACGGTGGCTGTAAGGTGGGTAAAGTATCAGGCTTTTCCATTCCGCCCTCCTGCCATTAGATTCAATGTATGCCTGATGGTGGACACCTGGAGTAGAGTGTGGGAATACGTAGGTGGGATTCACCAGGGCTGAGAGACTGGGCTTTTAAGGGCAGTGTCAGAGGAAATCAGAACAAGCAGAACCATGAGAAGGAGAACCAGTGAGAAAAGGGGACCATGAGAGAATGCCAGAGAGCCCAGAAGGAGTGAAGATTTGCCCAGGGACCTAAGGAGGCTAGCCAGGCACCTGCCATGTGCCTGGTAAAATCTCAATAAAGCCTAAAAAAGCTACCGAGGGCTCCAGGACACTCCTTTACCCATCTGCTTGGGTCCTAGAGATCCTGCACCAGTCCTAGAGATCCTGTTCCATCCCTTCTTGACGCTGCAGTGGGAGTCATGGCGGCTCAGGCTGCAGGCCATGCCCGGAATGCTGCCTGGTTTTTGCAGTGCCCTGTTCACAGGTGTAGGGAAAGGTAAAAAAGTATCAGGCTTTTCTGCCTTCCCGCCATTAGGATTAATGATGGATCCTTGCGGTCCTGAAGGCATGCTGATGGCGGGCACCTGGAGTAGGGTGTGGGCATCCATAAGTGGGTACACCTGGGCTGAGAGACTGGGCTTATAAGGGTGGCTTCATGGGGACGCCCACAGAGCAAAAGAAAGCAGAGCAAAAAGCAGAGAAGCAAAGACCACGAGATAACACTGGAGAGCCCAGAGAGAGAGACTTGTAGGAGACCAGCCTCCCGGCCCCCAGCACTCCTGCCGTGTACCTGGTAACGCAAAAAAAGCCTGAAAAAGTCAAGGAGGGCTCCAGGACTCCTTCACCCATCTACTCGATCATAGAGATCCTGCTCTGACTCTTCCCGCCTCTACAACAGGTGTAGGGTAAGGAAAAATGTCAGGCTTTTCTGCCCTCCCACCATCAGGATAGATGATGGATCCTTGCGGTCCTGAATGCATGCCTGATGGCGGGCACCTGGAGTAGGGTGTGGGCCTAGGTAGATGGGATTCACCTGGGCTGAGACTATGCTTTTAAGGGTGGCGTCACGGGGACGCCAGCAGCAGCAGAAGCCGAAAGAGAAGCCGAGAAAGCAGCAGCAGAAGCCGAAGAGAAGCGGAGATCACCAGAGAGCCCAGATAGAGTGAGGATTTGCCTCCCAGCCCCCCAGCACTCCTGCCTGCCATATGCCTGGTGAACCCCAATAAAAGACCTGCAAAAAGCCACTGAGGACTCTGACTCCTCCTTTACCCAGTCTGCATGGGATCCTAGAAAACCTGCACTCTGTCCTGTTCCTGCCCTTACAACAGGTTAGGAAGGGGATCTGATTTTTGTTTTTATGACAAAAGGCAAAAAGCAAATGTAGGGTAAATGGAAGTTATCAGGTTTTTCCGCCCTCCCGCCTTTAGCATCAATGATGGTCACCTGCGGTCTGACACGCGCCTGATGGCGGCCCCTGGACGTGGTGTGGGCGGGCGTGGGCGGGCGCACCTGAGCCAGGGGCTGAGCATACAGGATGGCCACAGAGCAGAGAACAGAGCGCAAGAGAGGGCGGGTGAGAGGAAGGTAAAAAGTATGGGGCTTTTCTGCCCTCCTGCCATGGGGACTGATGATGGATCCTTGCGGTCCTGAATACATGCCTGATGGCGGCACCTGGAGTAGGGCGTGGGCATGCGTGGATGGGATTCACCTGGGCTGAGAGACTGGGCTTATAAGAGCAGCGTCATGGGGACGCCAGCAGAGAGCAGAGCCACCACAGAAGCAGAAAGAACGAATGGAAGAGAAAGAAACGAGAAGCAGAGAACAGAACTACGAGAAGAACGAACGGTAGAGCAGAGAGAACACCAGAGAGCCCAGAAAGAGTAAAGATCCGCCAGGGGTTTGGAGGCCTGCCAGCCTCCTGGTCCCCACGCTCCCCCTGCCTGCCCTGTGCCTGGTTGCCGCACTACAAATGGTGTAGAAGGATCGTTAAAAGCCTGAAAAGCCACTGAGGGCTCTAGGGCTCCTCCTTTACCCGTCCGCCCAGATGATAGAGAACTTGCTCGGCACCTTCCTGGCGCTACAGCAAAGATCTTGGTAAGTGTTGGTTTGGCAGCAGCTTTTATAGAGGCAGCGCCACCCCAGCACTGAGAGAGGTGCCATCAAGCTCCTTGTCCAGAAAACCCTTTTACAGCCTGCATATTTATGATATTCCTGTATCACCATATATGAGTATTACTTTAGGTTGTATGTGTTACTTGGCATATTTGGTAGGTTATTTTTTGGGAGTGCTCAAAGTTGTTTCCATATAGAGTAATAGTTATTGTTTCTATGCTTTGGTTTTTGGCTTGGAAAGATTTCAGGAACTCTTTACTTTCCATGACTCCTGCAGTGGTTTCACATTCATTATCTTGATTCCTACAGTAACCCTGTGAGTTTACACATGAGGCCCAGAAAGGTAGTGTGCAATACCTGAGGTTCACACTGCAGAGGCTTGGGACAGGCAGGTCTTGGAAGTGGTGTATGGCACCAGCTACAAACTTACCTGGTTCTTGATGGCAGCAGACAAGACAGCAGGTCACAAAGCCCATATGCGGGAAGCAGGAACAAGTCTTTACTACAGCAATAGGCGATCCACAGAGAGCAACAGCATTATCTGTCCAGCTGGCCTGGCGGGGCCAGCCCGGCCCAGTGGCTCAGGTGGCAGCAGCCCTGTGTTGGCCCTGGTGGTGGCAGGCCCCTTGAGCCCCCTTGGGCTGTCTCAGGCTCTCTTGGCCCCTTGGGCTCCCCGCCCCCCAACCCCAGGCCTTGGCAACAGCAAAGGCAGCAGTAGCAACAGTGGCAGCATCCAGTCACGGTGGCCTCCCTGGGCTCCCACCACAGCAGTGGCCCAGTGCCCTACTAGCTTTTATATGATTTATAGAGAAAGCCAGCACAGGGCCACGTTTAGGCCTAGTTCACAGAAGTATGTTTCATGCATGTGAACTACATATCAAGGTTAAATTATTTACTGCCTTCCCCACATGTGGACTACATCTTAAGGCTGCATGTTATCTACCAGGCCACTTGAGCTGGAAGGTCACAGTGAAAAATAGCCATGGACACTGTGAAACTGTTTTCCCATCGACCCTACAATGGATCTTCTGGTATCACAACCATCTAACTCCAAATCACTGTATCCATGATGTCCGGTTTATGACATTGAATAATTATTGCACCCTTTTCTTTGGTCAGTCTTATCAATTCAATGTGTATTATGCACATGTGACTTCCAAATTCAATTGTGTAATGAAATTTATTTAAAGGTAGAAACTTGGCATTAATTGCCCTTTAATATGAGTTCTACTATAAACTCATTTTCTACAGATTTCAAACATGATTTGGTGACTCCTGGCTATGAAGATCTCACCAAGGAGGTAATTAAAAATCAGTGATGAGGAGAAATCCTTCCCATTATTTTAAATCAGGTTGCCACTTAAACTCTGAGTAGAGCACATTTTCAAGTATCCCTGCTAATGTTTAACAGTGTTGGCCAACAAAGAAAGTCCACTGTTTACTCTCCATCCTTAACTTTTTGGGTGAAAGAAATCATTTTTACACTTAATAGGAATTAGCCACAAGTTAGTATAATAAAAATTAACGTGTATTCATGTATTTGGTTTCATTGCTACTGTCCTCTTTGTGTAGGTGAAAGGTATTGACACACATTTAATTGATGCCACCTGTAGTTTGGGAGTTAAATGCTTCAAGTTTGGTCTCTCTTCTAATACTCATAATAAATGAAGTAGGTACTAGGACCCCATTTTATAATCAGAAAATTTAGGCTCGGATGGTTTGAGTATACCGGCTAAGGTGAGAAAGCTAGTATGAAGCCAAATAGGGATTCAAACACTGAACTTCTTCACTCCCAAAATGTTTTGCACTGTTACTTTATGCTGCCTCTCCAGGATACTGGTTGATGCTGAAGGCCAACCATAGTTTTGGAAGGGGTGGTAAACAAATTCCCTTCCCCTCAAGATACCCATATCCTAATCCTTGGAACCTGTGTTTATATTAACTTAATGGTAAAACAGACTTTGCAGATTGATGAAATTAAGGATCTTGATATGGGATGATTATCATGGATTATTTAGGAAGGCCTGATGTAATCAGAAGTGTCCTTATGAAGGAAATAGGCAGGGTAGTCTTGGGTCAGAGTTAGAAAAGGTTTGAAAATGTTAACACTACTTATTTTGAAGATGAAGAAGGACCACAAACCAAGAAATACAGGTAACTTGTAGAAGCTGCAAAGGCAGCACATACAATCTCAATTAGAACCTCAAAAAAAAAAAAAGCCCTTAATATTAACACCCCCAAATTACCCCAGTAATCTGTTTCAGACTTCTGATCTCTACAATTGTAGTAATTTTGTTTTGTTTGATGTTTAGTGTTAGGTTTGTGTTAATTTATAGAAGCAACAGGAAGCTAATATAGAAGAAAAGAGTTAAGTGATACATAACTTGTTTTGGCACTTTTAAGGAACAAATTTAATTTTCTTTGAATAACTTGTATGACTAATACCAAATTAAAATATGGTTGAATTATAAGAGCTTTAGTATTATAGAGGAAATTCAACATTGTAAAGAGTTTTCTACAGAAATAGCAATAAATAACAACGTAGGTGGCATTAAAACCCAGAGTACCCAGATACTCTGTAATTTATTTTGTTCTCCATTTGTGGACATTATTTGATGTGCCATCTTAATTCACAATATTTATTACATTTATTCATGATCCATTTACCTATGATCATAGGTGTTTACTATGCAGCAGTAATCATACAGGTATGTTTCTAAGGAGGTAGGTAAATAGATCGATAAACAGATACACACAAATTGTGTGGTACTCCAAGCTCTGACAGGCAGATTTTCATTCACTTACAAACTTGGAATTAAGTGGATGTATAAATGTTTAAAAGTTTATCAAGTATCTGATTACAAGAGAATATAAATAATTCAATATAGGAAATTATCCCTTTAGAGTTGATAGAAGTAGCAAGTAATATAAATTTAGTATAATAGAAATGAGGAATTTCAATTTTATACTAAATTGCTTTGATGATTAATCTTTTATCAAAAAAAAATTAGAACTCCTGCCAGAGAAAGAGTGCTCTGACATCTATTAGATCTTATAAAAGTTTGATTTATTTCTTTTCTCTGAGTTCATTTTGAAAGTTAGGAGAATATCTTGATGTTAAGTGATAGGAAAAATCATTCGTGCAACATAATGACCCAGTTGGAATTCAAATTGCAATCAAATTGCAAAGCAGCTCAGTTATCATTAGATTTGCTTAGATGGAGACTGAAGGTTGGTCCTGAGTCTGTAAGGGGCTGTTTAGGACTTAGATTAATGGAGAAATTAATTTACATCTGACTTGGTCTATGAGTGCTATTCTAAGAGTCCAGTCATCTAGATAACCTCTCTGAGTCTCTATTTTCCTATTAAATGAGAAGCTTATGTTTTATTTCTTTCAGTAGCTAAAATATTATTTGATCCCCAATAAGTGAACTGTAGTTGGGATTTCTCCTCCCCCTCATATTTTTCATAATAAACTTAACAGTTAATTATCAGTATCAGTAATCAATCTAATTGATTTATATTGATGGAGCACCTGCCATTTTTAAGGACTTTGCCAGATGTGGTTGAAGACTATGAATAAATATAGATGCAGAGGACCCATCTTTTATGTGAATTACAAAATGCCATGCAATATGGTAAATGACTGCCTTTATGATCATCAGAAAAATGATCTTTTTTGCTGGGTAGATGAAGGCCCACAGCTGCTGGCGAGCAGAGCATGGGCTCCTTGTTAGCTCTCACTTGTCTCCTTGCTGGGTGATTTTGGGTAATGCACAACCTCTCCAGTCATATTTAGCAACCAGGGCAAGACCAGTCCTTTTGTAATCTCGTTGAGTAAGTAGCACGTCCACTCTGCTTTCAGTTCTTACAAGTTACTTCAGTGGGTGCATTGTTGATTCAGTTTACATCAAATCAGGAACTTGGATATTTTCATTCTTAATAACTCTTGTGAGGAAATCACCATATGGCTGTTTGCAAACTACTTTGTTTTGTTCATTTTTAATATTCAAGCTGCTTATGATTTTTATAAGTCTTATAATCAAAGGGGAAATTGCCAAAACCTCATCTATTCATTTAGCAAACATGTTTTGAGAACTGTTGCTAGACATTGCAAGATAAGTAGTTGATGATAAACAAGACAGCCACCATTCCTGCCCACATGGAGAAACACTCAGAGGTGGGAGGTGGGGGAAATGAGAGGGTTGGAGGGGATATGGGGGAAAGCAGTAAAATAGACTCTAGATCCTGAGGAAAAATCTTGTTTTGGGCTAATCTCAGGAACTTACTGAGCAGGAGGTGTTGGGGCAGTGATGTAGATGGTTGCCAAGGAAATCTTTCTCAGTTGAAACAAAATGGGTGTGGGACTTTGTGCAGATGTAGGTATCATCATATTTAGAGTTTTTATTCTAACTGAAAGGAAAGGAAGCGGAAGGCTTCCCCTTAAAGAGACGTGATAGGCAGTTAGTGAGTACCAGAGGTACTTAGGAGAATTAAGAAGGGTAATTAATTGGTCTTTCTGTGATGGTGTAAGCAGGTAGTTAAGACTTTAGAGGCCAAAGCATCTGAAGTCACAGTGGAAGTAGATGAGAGAGCTTCTCTGGGAGCTGTATGCATGTTTGAAAGCTGCAGTGTTCTGACACCTAGCAGGAAAGAGAAATGTCTATGGTTGTCTTTTACGTAAAAGAAAAACGTTACTGAAAACAACTCATTCAGTGAGAGAAATAAGAATTTTTATTTCTATTGATCATTCCCTGATCTATGGCATGTATTTTCCCAAAAGGTTATGTATAAACCATAAAATATGCAAATTCTTTGGTTCAGCAATTCTACATCCAGGGCTTCACCTAAAATCATCAGGTATGTATACAGGATTTGAACAAGAATGTTAAAATGCTGATTGTAATAGTTCTTAAATACAGAAAAAATTAAAACAACAAAGTGTTCATGGGGATGGGCATTACAAGTCTTGGCACAGCCAT